TTATAGCGCCCCCCCACCCTGGCCGCCCGGAGCGGGGAGGAGCCGGGGAGGGTCGGTCTCCCACTGCCTGCCGGACTGAAGGAGGCGGGCTGGGTGGGGCGCGGCCGCCGCCGGAATCGACAGTTCCAGTAAATGAATGGCGCAGGAGGTTTGGTCAACAAGGCCTGGCCTTGGGTCGCCTCAGGCGCCGGCCCGAAGCCCCTGCTCTCGCCGTGACGTGGAGCCAGCGACCGAGCAAGTCTCCTGGCTCGGAGCGCCCGAGGCGCTTCACGTGTCCGCAAGGGCCGCCGCTGAGAAGAGGCGCGGTTGCCAGAAGAGTAAATGGCAGCTTTCCACTGCGTAAAGTGAAGGACCAGGCTCAGACGACGTAGTTAAACACGTCAGTTACCACGTCTGGTCTGGACGTGCTCGCACTGGCAGTGGATCTCCAGGGTATACAATAATATACTGTACTGTATATACCTTAGGCTGCGGGTTGGACTAGAAGACACCCAAGTGATTTTAAATTTAAATGTCAAACCTTTTTAAAGGTTTTCAAAAGCAAAGTCTTCAGAAGGGGAAAGAAAGGCAAGCCATCACATTCTAAAGATTTTCTTTTGTAGAGTTCATTGCACAACTGTTGCTGTTATGTGCCATTGGGTGGCTTCCAGTTTATGCCACCCCAATGAATGAATGACCTCTAAAAAGTCCTGCTTAGCTGTTACAAACCAAAGAATTGACATGCCTGCTTAAGGGTTAGAAACAAAAGAATGTGGCTTCCTTTAATAAGTCACTCCATATCACATTTGCTTTTTCTCTTTTCCTGCTCCTCTTAGGTTCAAATTCTTTCAAGACAGGAACAATGTCTCTGAAATATTAGTACAGTGGAACTCTTTGGTGTCTGCTGCATGAAAAAATACTGGTGCAGAATGAATTAGACAGCTCACATGATTATGTATTTAAAATATATTTATCCAAAATGGGAAATAATGTTGTGTACCACAATAAGTTCATTGAACGGCTGGTGATCCTATTGATTATTCACTCCAATCATCACTTGTATTCCTCTTTGCATACCAGTTAATGTGGCTTGGTGTGAAATGAGGAATACAAATTGCAACTCCTTAACTAGTGACAATTTGACACTGGTTTATGCCATTTCATTTACGTTAGCATAAATAACCAGTAGAATTCTGGTTAACATAATTAAAAATCCCATTCCTTTATAGTTACAGAAGCTGACCTGAGTAAGACCTTGGGAAATTTCCTCTTTAGGCTACAAGTCCCAGAGTCTGCCAACTAGTAGGAAAAATAAAAGTAAATTTTCCTATCGGTGGGATGAATCATGGGAACTCCATAATGGCTATGCTAAAATGCTTTTCCTTCTTTCTTCATGACATGTTTGTGAAAATGCAACATCCCATCTGAGGGCAGAGGCAGAGATCTAGCCATAACAATCTTCTCACCCAAATGAGGCTCTTTGTTTGGGAACCGTTTGAGAATTGGAGCAGCCTAAGCTCTGGGAAGGAAACCGAAAAATACTTTAAAAGAGACTTTGCAAGGTGAAGGAGCTCATTCTGTGGAAGCCTGCCTGCTGTGCTGAGATTTCAATGTTTTTGAACCAGTGAGGCTTAAAATACAGAGTGAAGGGTTTTGTTTTGTCTTTTTTATATATTGGAGGGATACAGATATGTATTGAGTGTTTCATTTTAATTGTTTGTATTCTGTGGATTGATAGTCATATTATTTTCATGGACCTGTTCTCTTTCTGTAATAAAAGAATGGAATATTTTGCCCTTCATAAACATGTACTTTTGCTTTAAGATGGTCGGAATATTTTGCCCTTCATAAACATAAACATGTACTTTTGCTTTAAGATGGTTTATTCTGAATTTAGTTGCCTTAACTTAATGAAAGCGTCACCCTAAGTTCTGGGATAAAAGACAACTTTGCTCATTCTCCTTTAAACAGCATGTGCTGTACAGCCTTTCTTCAAAACAGATCTTAATGAACCGACAGAACATGAGCTAATAAATTAACTGATAAAAATTCCTTTATTGATGCCATAAAGGAAGTGGGTCAAAAGAACATTCCCAAAGGAGACGCTGTACAATTAGCAAACATTGCATTATCTACACAAATATTTGCTTGTACCAACGCAATTGCCATTGATGTCGGTGTTGTTCCCCCACAGTTACATAGGGGTCGGGCTAATTTACACAAAGGCAGCTGCTATATCCTGATCACTAGAGAAAAGCCTGACTGTCAAACTATAATAAACCATAAAGAAATGACACTGTTGTATTTAAAGAGTATGATTGTTCAGGATTTACTTACTTACTTACTTACTTACTTACTTACTTACTTTAAAAAGAAACAGAATATTTGGCTGTTAAAAGGGTAAGCAGTTAGTCAACACCCATTGAATTGTGAAATTGACAATATCTGATGCCAAAAAGGATCAATCAGAGAGAAAGAAGGAACTGTACCTAGTATGAAAACAACAAAGAAATGACCCTTTGAGGGAAAGATACAATAGAAATACAACAAACAAAACAAATAAATTATAATTGAATAATTAATAATGAAGTGCAGGATTTTATTTTTTAGAACCCTTTGCCCTTGTTTTTAAACAATGCCTGGGAACACCTGAAAGCTCAGGAAGAGATCAACATTTTCAGCAGGAGGAGCCTAGGAAGGAGAAAATAAAAGGGGAGGAAAAGGTGGGAGAAGGGGAAGGTCTGTGTGAAGCCTAACCCTCAGGAAGAGTGGGAACTGACAATAAAAGAGGCCCAGTGGACTGGTGAGGTAGTCTAACTCAGAGTTCCCAAGGAGGAAGCAGAAAGACAGAGAAGGCATAAACCTCTCCTTTTCTCCTATTGGTGAACATAGAGAGATGGGACAGAAACAAGGACCGAGGAACATTCATTGTTCTATGGAAGGTCTGTGGAACCAACCTTCTGAGAGTGGCCCCTTGACATCTCCTTCCAAGAGGATAAGGAGGGAAGTAAAACCAAAGGCGCAGATGGAGCAGGATAAGCTGTACATTCCTGTTGCAACCCTCCTTCCTCAGCCAGACACTGTCTACCCTGGTGATTCAAAGAGTAGCCCAGTACCTACACAAGAGTGGATGGTTAAGGAGGATGGTTGGATTAAACCAGTGAATCAGGATGTTGATGTTAAACCTTTACACATTATCACTGAAAAGTTCCCTTGAAAGTTAATAAACATATGATATAAAGGACCAATCATCTTCAAAACTTTTTATGAAAGGGGAAGAAAGTCTTTTGGGAGAATGAGTGGGGGGGAGCCACACCAGAACACAGAAAAAGTACAAAACGAAATGAAACAACCCAAAGAAGTGGTCACGTTTAACTAAAGGACTGGCACATAAAAGACACAAAAATGAAAGAGGCAGTATTTTGTTTTTGAAAGAACCTGAAATTAAACAATACCTAAAGCTTTCACCATACACATCCGCGGTCACTATCCTTTCTCTGGAGGAGACCTGCCTGGGCCGCCGGTTCTTCCAACTAGCCTGGAGTCGCCGGGATAGTTCGGAAAGGGAAAGGGAAGGGGGTGGGTGAGGGAGGGATGCAGACCTCATTGTGCCATCACTTTGCAGGACTAGACCCTTTGGTGGCAAGAGTTGGCTGTTCTGAAGCCAGTGACCTTCTTTCTTCTCCTCTGAGATTCATCACTTTCCTAGGGCATATAAGGGAATATAAACTGGATTGCTGGAGAGAGGACAGTTTGACTCCCAGTAGACACATTGCTAAAAGGGGTGATACCAAAGGGTGGATATCCTTTGGAGGTCTCCTTTTTCAAGGACATGAGGGTGCAAGGCAGTCTTCCCAGGCCAAAGAGGAGAGGAGTAATGAGATGGGTTTTGTTGTTGAAGTGCCTGCCTGATTTTGTTTATTTGAACACCTACAATAACCAGGCTTGCTGTCTCCTGGTGGAAGGATGTGCCTCCCAACGGAGGGTATGGAAAGGAAGCAAAGAGCTATTTGAAGCATAGAGGATGCTGGATGTGAGGGGGGGGAGATACAGTTCAGGGAGAGATGCCATCAGGGGAGATGAGAATGAAGAGGTGTTGCATGTTCCCTTCAAACAGCTTGCATTGTTTGATGGTAAACCCCCAGGTTGAGAATGCTAACACTGAATGCAAGATCAGTGAAAGAAAACAGGAGCTATCCAGAATATGACACTGAATTAACACTTCAAACTTGCACTGAATTATAGTCTACTGGATAAAGAAAGGGGGTCAGTCTCAGCTATGCTTTCTTGGAGTCTCTCTGTTCTGGCTGCTGGACAGCTGTTGGCAAAACAATCTTATAAAAAAAGAACCTCAGGGTTGCCCATATACATAGGCTAGCCATCTGATTTAAAGCATCATAATGGATTAATAGGCTATTCTTTATCCCTCACCTAAGTTCACAATGAACAGTGTCATTATGGTCCCTGATCTCTCTTCCCCTTCCATGTAGTTTAGATGTTGGGCTTCAAACTTTACCCTCTGCCACCCGGCCTTGACATGAAGAGGCCATTTGTAGTTTCTTCGTAGCAAGGAAAATACACATGCCAGCAGGCCTTCCCATTTGGCATTACTTACTTCACATAGTCTAGGACTGAAGCTGGCACTAAACAAAAATGTTCTGTTCCAAGATATGGCTTGAACTGAACACTGCTTCTATGCTCAAGCAGCTTCTTGTGCATTCAGCAACCACTCTCTCGTGACTACGGTGCAAGTTATATGATGTGCCAGGTGTATGATTATGT